AGAAGCCTATTTAATCAATCAAATTGTGAGTGTGAAACCATAAAACCAAAACCAGAACTAATGCCATGAAATGAATAGAAAGTACTGAGAGTTGTCTGTCTTGCGAAATCTGCATATTAAATGTTGTATGCGCTGTGTATGCGTTTACAGTTATTAATGCAAATAACATTTGTTGTTTTTGTAGTACATCATTATCACTAAGATTGTTCTTATTTTGGCTTCGCTTTTGTACTAGACAACCTCCTCAGTAAAGCTTTAAGACGGCTTTTCAGCCTGGATACACTACGTCTCCCGTCTATATTGTTTTTGGCCTAGCTAAAGCACGACTATGACGCCAACAAGAACAGTAGTAAATAGTAAGCACAAACCTGGTTAGCTAGCTGTATAGTACCTCCATTATCACACATTGACAAGATATTATCATTATAAATTGAATTCCTTCAAGCTATTCGCAAAACCCGGTCGTAGTTACGGAGAGAGCGCCATTGTAACCTCCATTGATCGCATGTAGTTTGCATGAGTAAAGCACGTACTATGTACAGTCACTGTTTCCGCTAAGTTTACACTAAAATACCCACGCACAGAAGTTGGCTTAGGACAGCGTTCTTGCGGTGACTTGGAGTGAAGAAGATCCGTGCATGTCCTGGGAATATACCATCCGTATACTCATGCGCATAACTTATAGTTTACTAATGACTGTCAATTCAGAAATAATTTTCACTTAAAATACGCCAAATACTTATACGTAACAATATATAGGTCGTATTGATATTACTGTAGTAGACAAGCGCATCCAAAATTGATGTTTTGTTTACTTTCGCTTAGATATGCTATGTGTGGCAAACGAAGCGTAGAACGTGCTTTTGTTTATCAAGCCCAATGTCAATTGACATGGTATGAGAACCCCGATCAATTGTTCGGAAATTCTTGGTTGGATTTCAATATCTTGTTATTCGGAAATTGATTCAGGACAAAAGTTTTTGATTAATGGAAGGATAAAATAAATTGACGGAAAATAGAAACTTAGATAAGGCCATTAGAAGAAAGAAAAAAAAAAAAAAACCCCACTGAAAATCATCAGGCACATACTGTGGGTACAACTATAAGAATGTACTGTAACTAATTATCGATTAAGATTGATTCAGAAATGCAAATCGCTTTTTCATGAATGATTGACTAATTGACTAATATACTTTGATTGATTGATTGATTGATTGATGCAGTGATTGGCTAATTTATAGATTGATCCAATCGATCGATTTTTTATAGGTATAGCTTATAGGCCTATATTATTCTTCTAAATAAACAGCATCATTTAAAGCAGTGGTGGCGCCAGAGGGGGCGGGGCTGGGGCTATAGCCCCCGTCGGGGGAAATCCCCACCCCCGTCGGGGAAGACGATAAATTATGTCGGGGAACAAACAAATAAAAAAAATGTTTACATGTAATATTCGTTTAGCCATCATATTGCTTGTGTTAACTTTTCATCACAACAACAACAACAACCACAACAACAACAACAACAACAACAACAACAACAACAATAATAATAATAATAATAATAATTCAGTGAGACTAAACTTGCGTTCTGTTATGACAAATGCTCATTTAGATAGCCTCATGATGGTTGGAATACATCGTGATAGGTGAAGCAACCTCGACCATGATAGCGTGGTTGACAGATTTCATGCAAAATTTCCAAAATATAGAATTTCACTTTCAAGAATGAGGATTTGAAAGTAAGTTAGATGGTTACATTGTATACTCTTTGTTTCTTGCTTTATTCAAAATGTTTTGGTTTTGGAAGCTGATTTCAACATTAGAAAGCACTATAGCCTACATGAAGTCATATTATAGTAACTCGATGCCTATCAAGTAGGCCTAAGTAATAAAAATTCGCCATAATTCATCAAATACCCGTGGCTTCCAGGGGGCTTCGCTCCAGTAGCCCCCCCCCCCGTCGGGGCCTTTAGCCCCTCCGTCGGGCAGGTCCTGGCGCCACCACTGCTTTAAAGCGCATGTCTAAACTTAGAAGTACAGTGCTCACGCTAGGACCATAGGGCACATCAGGGGCGGATCCACATTTGTTTTGCTGTGGGGAACATTAGTCCCCACCCACCTCAGGGCCTCCATGGTTGGGGCTAAGGTGAGCAACTTTTAAGAATATGAATCTCTGATTCCCGGAATGACACTCAGGCAGTAAAAATGCTTTTTCAAACCAGTGCTCCTCACAAAACGATTGTTTTCTCCCAATGGGAGTTATGCTCCCCTCCCCCTAAACACAACCTCACGACCGTCGCAAAGGCCTAGTCCTAGATTTTATTTTAAACTTATAACACAATCGGCGTAGCGTTGTGTTTATCAATATATAATAGAAAATTATGGTAAAATAATAGAGCACGCCATTCGCCCATTTGCGGATGAAGGTTACGGTATATTTTATTGGGGGTGGTAGGGGGGGGGGGAAGAGAGATTATTCTTTGCGAAGCCTGGGACGGTTTCTAAATGATATTCTTTTTTAATAGGGACCCCTGGATGACCGGAAATAGCAATCTCAGAAAAATACGTTTAAATGTAAAGTTGATAAGAATTCAGTTGTTACTATATACTATACTCTCAAACTCGACTCAATAAATATTTCTTATATATTCGAGTAGGATGTCTTCATGTCGATCATCATTATCATTAATTGATATTTAACATTATTATCATATTACATCTATGCTTGATACTCCTGACGCAAATCTATAATTGTCTATTTCACCACAACAATAAAAATTACAAATATTATATTTTTCATGCATAATGCACCCCATAACGAGGTTACTATTGCGACGGTAGCGGAAATAATTACGTCGGATTATTTTGTTAACCTTATTGATGAGGGCCTCTTTGAGTTCTACATTTTGATAAAATTAAATCTTAATAAAACATGTTAAATAGGCCTAGGCCTACGTGTTTATTATAGGTTACAATTATTACTGGTAGCATATCATTGATATTATTGCAATAATATCATTGTAACTGTACTGTATTTATCGTTAATATTATTATCATTATTGCTTCTATTAGTAATTATACGATAACATAATTATGTTAACGGTTGGGAACTTATATGGTGCTTAATACTATAATATAATGTATTGATTGATAGAATTGTCAATTGTTTGATCAATAATCGATTGACTGATTGGTTAAATGCATGTTTGATTGAACTGTACAGGGTCAGAGAGAGAGAGAGAGAGAGAGAGAGAGACAAATGAAAGGCCCAGAACTTTCAAATTCACGATCATTTAATAGGCACTTTACGCAACAGAACGGGAAGGGGTGTCTGGACGATGGTTTTGTGCTCATCAGAGCGTGAAGACCACAGGGCGCTTAATCCGAATTGCTGTTCTCGACGGCTTCTTCCCGTCCTCTTGCGCAAAGTTCCTAATAATAACACAATGGGGAGTCGGATACAGAGCTACTCTCCAAACTTAGTGCTTTTTCAAAATTATATCATACTTGTTTGTTTCTTTTTTACGCATTAGATCGAAAACAATGCATACAAGCAGCTTATGTTAAGTCGAAAGTCTGTTAACCTAAAAAGAAATACATCACATTGTAGTTAAGTTGTAGTTAAGCATAACCTTGAGCTGTAATTCCTGGCCCCGAAACCTTGACTCAGAAGTACCGGGTTGGTGTCCGGAGGGGGATAGTTTTCGACCAAAGTTTTAACTGCTGTTTATTTTGTTGTACTGTGATGGTTACTTTTGTTGTTGTTATTGTAATATGTGTTTGCAGGACCATATTGTAAAACAGCGGTAAGATCTCGCCTTTATATGTTATCCTGCCTAAAGATGTTTTAAATAAAAATAAAATAAATAAATCACATCGTTGGATCGAAACATTAGTGATGACAATTCGTCTTATTATTACTATAGTAGCCTCCTGGAAGATGAACCGGACCTAATTGAAACTGACTCGGCTAATTCGTCGAGGTCAGCCAAGTTGTTAGCGGATATTGTTTTGTTGATTTGATTTGCGATCAAGCAGAAGATGATAACATCCTGCACTAGCACATCACAACGCTCAAACTTGGCTGTGTATTATTTATTCACTCACATAATATTTTAGTACAGTAAAACTTTGCGTGAAAACTGAGGGCGTTGTAGCACATCCATGGTTGAACTGATGTAGGGCGTTAACAAAATCAATATTGTTGTTAATGCGTGTTATTGTCAAACATATATTACTTGACAAAACATAATTTAACTGTTGACTTTGAAGATTACATAATTAAAAAAAAATACAATTTGAAAAAAAAATGTTTCTGATAATTTAACTAGAAATTCGTCGTCTCGGCCGCGTTTTATAATAAATAAAATCTTTATGAACTGTATTTAATTTTCACATAAACATTTTGTTAATCAATTCAAAAGTGTTGTTATATACAAATAATGATTGTTATGAGTGTGTGAGAAAGGAAAGTTTATTTTCATAAGTTAAAAAAAAAATGGTATGTTCCATTTAACGAACTGAAACATTGTTGAACGAAACAGTCTATATTTCAACGAATGAAAATAACCTTTCCAATGCACTAATAAAAAATATATTCATGATTTGTTTTACAATTCACCTAATAAGGTATCTACATTTTATATTTTATGATAACTCAATCTATGGTCACCTTTCTTCTGAATGAATCAGTCCATGTATCTTCTTTCCATGTGCAGTGGCACAACTTGAATGGAACAAAAATGCATCGAAAAATAGAACTAAAAAAATTACCGAATATATTTGAATAAACGCCCCTCGAATAAATGGCACTCGAATAAACCCCCTGTCAGAGCCTCATTTGGAATAAACGTCTCTCTCGAATGAACGCCCCGGGCGTTTATTGTTTTCTGAAATAAACGCCTCCCTCCTAAATGACTGTAAGCAATACTAATTGAAGCAACGTCATTTTCAACATAATGTTCTACTCCAATAGAACTACATTTTTTTCCAAACTGGTTGGGATCAATTATCTTTATGATTACACAATAACAAATTTTTTACAGTGAAATTAAAGGGCGTTTATTTGAGTGTATCGTAGCCAGGATTTTTAAACAGTGCGGGACAATATCAGGGTGGATCCACTTTACGCGTAAATTCAAACAATGTGGACCCAAAAATATGAGAAATCTGGACCCATTTTCTTAAATTTTACCCATTTTAAGCTAAATATGAGAAATCTAGACCCAATTTTTTCTTAAATTGGACCCATTTCATGCATAAACTTACATAATCTAGACCCATTTTTAAAAAGTGGACCCATCAGAAAAAATGTGTGTGACTGTCCCAACTATCCCAATAGCTGGCTACGGCATTGATCGTATCTACTTAACACTAAAACATTTATACGCTTCCCTCAAATAAACAAACTCTCAAAAACCATGTTTAACAATAATGCCGGGGCGTTTATTCGAATATTATACGGTACATGAACAATGACGCAAATCAAAAACACAATGTTGTACCATTAAAAGATAGAAATACCCAATTTTCAAATGATATAAATCCATCAATCAAGAGATCTATTTATATTTATATTTCAGTGTCATTCTTGTCCAATTGTAAGTTACGCGCCCCTGACAAGATGGAAATGATGCTCTATGTTTAATCCTAACATTGGAATTTTAATTAAAGCATATGAACCAATAATACGACTCTATTTCGATGTATTTTTTTGTGAGGATGATAATTATGTAGAAGAAATATGATTTAAAGTGAAGGGTGATGATGACGATAGCGATAATAATAATAATAATAATAATAATAATAATAATAGATGGATTTATATATTATTATTATTAT